GGATCCCGAGCACACGGACAGCGACGATCATCAATCCCCTGCCGAGGTGGCTCCTTCCGCTTGCAGGATCCCTGCCTTTGGCTGCTGACTGTAGGCAAGCTTTGGCAGGTTCCCGTGGCAAGCAAGTTTGGAGGCAGCTGGGTCCCGCCTTCAGAGCAGAGACTCGCAAAGGACAAAAAGACTTAAATAAACATGGGGGGGGATACAGGAAGGCAGGTATATTAAAGGTACCAAAGTATTCAAGCAAATAAAAACTCTGTTTAGAACGGCCTGTTTGTTACTTTGAAGCTCTGCTTCTCCCTGTCTGCAGCTGGTGCTGCTGGTCCGAGCCCTTCCTAGGCACCGGGGCCCGGGAAGCGCTCGGGAGCGGGCCGGGCCGCGGCGGGGCCCACGGGGCCGGGCGGGAGGGCACGAGGGCGGCGAGCGCTCCCTGCCCGGCGCCGCCGCCGCTGAGGCAACGCGACCCAAAGCACTGGACGCAAACAAATGAATCGTAGCTGCAGGCGGGAGGAATATCAGGTGCATCTCTACAGCCCGCGGGCTCAACTCCTACACTTCTTAAGTCCCTCCCCCTGCAGGAGCCGCCTGCAGTTTCGCTCCGGCAGCCGGCAGAGAACAGGTACTTCTCTCGCCGCAGTGACAGCCGGGCTCGGCACCGCGCGCCGGGAGCCTCCCCACACCTGTGCAGCTGGTAAGGGTCTTTTGGGGTCGATTCGGGGGGAAGGGGGCGAGGGGCTGGCGTGGCGGCGGCAGCTCCGCGGCGGCTCCCGGCAGGTGCACGCGGGACTCCGCGCAGCGCCGCGGCCGATCCTGCCCGCGGACGGGACCGGCTGCTTTGGGTTTAGTCTGACAGAGACACCAAGAGCGACTCTTACAACTTTTATGGCAATTAGTCCTCGTTGGTGAAAGGCACTTGAGCACCTCTGGCCGTGCAGCAATTGAGGGCATTAGACGGTGATATGGCAAAAGCTCCCATGCGCAAGACGTTGCTTAACACCGCCACGGTTTCTCTGCCAACTATTCTTTATATTATAGTATCACCTTGATGCAAAAGCTTGTATGAAAATAAGGCATCTCACTTCAGTTTTGATTTATTAGTTTTCCAGCTCCTGGGAAAAAAAAGAGTATAGAAAATTGAACTTGTTTTGGTGCTTCCTCCCTCTAGTGAACGCAGCCACGATCCAGCCTGGGGTTTGCTTTCAAGCTGGTTGTTGCAGGCCCTTCTCTGCCCCTTGCTGCACGTCCCGCGGCCACCCCGCCACGCTCCCCGCTTTCCTCCTCCTTGGCAAACCCTTGCATTAAAAACCCATCGCTCAGCTTAAAGGAACTGGAAGTTTAGCAGGGAGTGGTGGTTAATCACGGGAAAATCTCAGCTAGAATTAAAAAAACTCACAAATCTTGTTCTTGCAACACACTAGGTAGGTGACAATGGCATGTCCTTGAGTTATGCAACGATGCCACATCACAATATTTTAATTATAGCGTGTCCTTCAAAATGTTCCACCCCAGTGAGTCCTCCTGGGCAGAGAGATCAACATCACCAAAAGGCTCCTGCAATAACAACGAAGGTGCATGACAAACTGCTACGGCGCTTGCTAGAGCAGCGTCCTAAAAAGAAACGTAATTACCATTCCTGCTCTTAATAAAAGACATTTTGAAATTTCCCCTTTGATCAGCTGGACACCTTAAACAATTTGCACTGCTTAGAAGCGCCGAAGCAACAGGCAGACATATGGACAGGTGTATATAGGTGTGTGTGCGTGCATGCATCTGTGTATACACACACACATACACACACACTTTTGTTTTTATATATACATGCACCCAGAGACAACATTAAACTCGCTGGAGCTCACATATTCTGAAAGCAAGGAGCCAGCAATAACGTGGGCTTTTAGAGACGTAACGCAGGAAACTCGCAGGCAGCTCAATCGCAAGCTGGAACGGGCTATAGCTGAGGAAGCTGCAGGGAGGGAAACCAGAGGCACAACCGCAGCGCCTCGAGTTTCGTCAGGATTATCCCAACAACCTGCTTTCCATAAAATTACACATAAAAAAACAGTGCAGTTCAGAACTAGCAAGATAAACTCAGAATAACACAAACTGCCTCAACTTCTAAAACCAGGTATCTAGAAAAGAATTTTCCGTTTTTCTTCTTTTAATTATCTGAAAAGTCCTGCTATTGAATTTTTTTTCCCCTTTTTGAAAGGATATCTCAAGTTATCACCTTCAAAGATAAAGCAAGGCTTATTTGACTTTTTCTTTGCAATATGAAATTATAATTTCTTTAGCACAAAATAGACATTGTGCAACCACAGCTAACTGACTTTTCTATGGGGGCAGCTTGAAGAGGTTGCGCGTATGTAAAGCCATTACTGTTGGTGCTATATGTGCAATCAGTTTTATATTTTTAAGTATGGAATATGCATCTCTGCCAGATATTCTGGCGCTTCCGCGGAGTTGAGAAGGGAAATTATCCTTCTTGGCTGGGTTGAGAAGTATTTTTCTATGGGCATTTTTAAGCCATAAATGCAAAAAAGAAGGGATTAAGTAATGAGTGAGAGCAGCCGAAGGTCCGGCCGGCTGCCCTAGCCCCACGTTTGCTGTGGGGAAAGAGCCCTTAAAACAAGGAGGGAAGGAAGGAGCAGCCCCGGCAGCCACCAAAACAAATGAAAAGGAAAAAAACGACACCTATAATTGTGACTCTCTCCTGTTACACACATTGCAAGAAGCTGCCAAGGCTCAGGATTCTAACATGAAAAGTGCAACACGGCATTTTATCTTATTGAGAAACAGGAATAACTTGAATCAAAGTGAAATACAAAGTTGGGGGGGGGGTGGACAGGACACACAGGAATTTGCATTATTAAGCAGACAAAAGCTAGCAGAACAAGAAAATCTAATTAACGTCTCTTTATAATAAAGTGCTGCACCTGAATGCAAATCCAGACTGTTATCGTAAATGGCTAAACTAAGAACGCAGAGGAGTTTTGACAACAATATCGTTTTTCAGGAATAATTAGTACAAGTACTTCCAAGAAGATACAAAGAACAGCAGGAACAAACTGACTCGACCAAGTCCCTTACAGACTGTCCATGTTAGTTATACATCATTAGTCAGAAATAAATGCAGCAAATTTACTTAAGGCAAGAAAGAAGGAGCAGCCACCTATCTGCAGGTCCCCTCCCACGGCTCTAATACTCCTCCTCATTTCTTTTCATGCAAAAGTATTAATCTTGCTCTTTCAGAGGCATTCTGGCTATCATTTTGTGAAATGTTTGTTTTTTAGTGAACCATAATTTTAAACACCAAGGACAATTTTTTTTTAACATGCTACTGTATACCTTAGGTAATTATTTTTATTTCAATGATACATTATAAGTTTCTGACTCATCATAATAATAATAATAAATAAATAGGTTTGATAAAAGGTGAGAGACACAAAGTTACTGCTCTATACATTGCTTCTAATCATTTAGGCTGTCACATGTTAAATCATTAATTTTAAGAAAGAAACTGATAGTCTTTTCTATTCAGAGAGAAGCTTTGCATTTTTCAAGATGTCGTCGCAATTACTATTTTAACGGAATTAACATTTCTATGACATCAGAAACAATACGCAATATATGTTGCTGGAATTACTGTACCTGATCAAACAAGCCGCAATTCTGTAGCCTTGCCTTCAGCTTTCATACTGCGTTGTGTGCCATTTTCTATTAAATAAAAATCTCTAAGAAATGCAAAACACCCCCACTTCAACTAAAAATCTCACAGCATGTAAATTACCAGCAATTCTTTTCATAACCCTAATATTTTAATACTCCCAACTCAAACTTCTATGTAAAAAAGCCTTTTAGAAAGAAATCAAGCTATGCGAGTCACTCGTACAATTAGTATTCCCGTAGTTTCGGGTAACACAATAGATACAGTACGTGGTTTTGCAACAGTCATCATTTTGATAATGATGCTTCTAGTTCATGATGAAATCATCGGTTTTTAGATCTCTGCCATAACACATCCTATAAAATCATGAGAACTTGACTCCGAGAGTTTCTCACGCCTTCAGAATCAGCGAACATAATGGGACAAGCCGACACAAGCCCTCCTGACTTATCTCCCGAGCAAATCAGGAGGCTGCGTGAAGTATCCACAACCTCGGGTTTTCTAAAGAAAGGCGGATGGATCGTTCCCCTATAAATCAATCGTCGGCAGACGCTTTCCACCCGAATTCGGGCCCTCGCGCGTAGGTGCTACCCGCGTAGAGCCCAGCAGCGCGCGGCGCCTTTGCACGGTGTTTATCAAACAGGAGCCGCTGTTAGTCAGGCATCGCAGCGCTCATTTCTCTTAATTGCATTAGGAAGAGGAAGAAAATTGGTGTGGTTTTATCCTTCGAGAGATTGGCCACTGCTGAGGTGCCCGTGGAGAGGAGGCAGTTGGGAAAGGGCGGCGGGGAGCGGGGCTGCTCCCATCCAAGGGCGCAGCGCCCGGCTCCGGCTGCGGGGAGGGTGCCGGGACCTGCTCCCTCTCAACAGCTCCACCTACGTTTCCACTCTCATCTTCCCAATGAACCTGCCCTCCCTCCTCCAAGGCAACTCCTGGAAGCCCCATCGGATTTGCAGGCAACCGGCACCGCTGCAAATTCGGTCACTTCTGGGACTGAGGTTCTGAAGATGAAGTTTAATACATCTCAAATCATACATAATATAAGGGGTGGGATAGAGCTGAAAGACTGTGTTAGTTTTCCTCAGTTCCAGGCTTGCAGCCGAGCTAATTTTCACCTTTCTGTTGCAGCTGCCAGGCTACCAGTCGCAGAAGAGCTTTCCGGCCCCCGCTGCCCCCCTGCGCCACCCCAGGAGCTGCCGTCCTCTTCTCGCCTGGGAAAAGGGATTCTAGAAACCTGAAAAACTGGAAACTTCCAGAGGCTAAAGCTGAGGAAAGCTACCCGCAAGCAAGGTTTTGTAGAGGAGTGTTATATTTAATCATTTGAAGCAGAAAAAAAATGAGTCTCCTCAAAGAGCGCAAGCCGAAGAAGCCTCATTACATCCCCAGACCGCCAGGAAAGCCATTCAAATACAAGTGCTTCCAGTGTCCCTTCACCTGCAACGAGAAATCCCATCTTTTCAACCACATGAAGTATGGTCTCTGCAAAAACTCTATTACTTTAGTGTCAGAGCAGGACCGCATTATTAAGTGCCCAAAGACCAGCTCCTTGGAGCCCAAACAGATCAACCAGCTAGAACCTACAGCCAAGCCAACGTCCTCCAAATCCATCGCAAATGGACTCTCAAATCTCGATTCAAAGCCCCAGTATCCTTTTGCCAAAGAAGATGCCAAGGAAAACGTTGAGTTACAAAACCAGGCAACAAGCACAGCAATTCAAGGGCAGAAAGCTGCAATCCCAAAGGAATTGGCTCCAGCCAGCACAGCAGAAACTGCCCTCGGCATGCAGCCCCTCTTGGACAGCATCGTAAGGCCCTCGGCTTTTGTTCCTGTAGGAGAACACAGGGATAGTAAAGGCCCCGAAGCTAACGACGTGTCTGATGTTATATCCCTCGCTAACAAGGGTTCACCTTTTCACGCCAAGTCGGCGTTCCACGCACCCAGTCACCCATGGAAAGCAGGTTCTCCTTTCCTCCCGGAGTTTCCCCACAAAGTTGCTCCCACAAAAGGCTTTGGTTCCATCTCCCCCTACATGCAGCCGGTGATCCCAGAGTACTCGCCCCACTTCTACGAGCACCGGCTGGCAATCTACGCACCCTACCTGCTGCCGGGGAACGCAGAGTGCGAAACCTCGGCCCTCTCCGTCTATGGCACACAAGACCAAAGGCACTTTCTTCCCCACCCTGGGCCGCTTCCAAAACCAATAAATCCATCGGCCTATGAACACTATCGATTGTTCCAACAGTATCACTCCACTCCTCCGATACCGTATGGATTTTGCAGGCCAACAGATCCTCCATTTTACAGATTTTCCCACGTCGCCGGTATCAACAGAGAGCAGAGTTCTCACCTAATGGAAGAAACCGGCCTGCTGTACCCTGCTCCTCTAAGCCCATCCCAACAATATTCTTTAAGCGCGCACAAAAAACAGGCAGATTATGAAAAAGAAATGACACTGCTGCACGGCAAGGGTCACTCCAAGGAGGAGCAGAGCGAAAGGGAGAACGCGAAGATGAGCCCGCTGGCGGGCAGCGCGGCCACGGGCTCCCCGGGCAGGCCCAGCCCCACCAACTTCACGCAGACGAGCCAGGCCTGCCAAGGCCTCTTCGACCTCTCCAGCAAGGCACCCGCTGCCCTGCTGGCCAAGCACGACCAGCCAGAAGACAATTTCACCGCGTTCAGGCCCGTGAGGAAAAGCGCCGAGCAGGCGGCTCCAGCCCAGGGCGCGCACGCGCCGCAGGAGCGGGGAGATTCGCCCACCAGGTACATGAACAACAACGTTACTGCACAGATTCTCGTCCAAGGAAGCATGTAGATAACACCCTTGCATTTCATAGATAGCTTTTCATAGATAACAATTTGCATTTTACAGAACAGCCCTAAAATATAATTAAATTTACAGCATTTTGTTCCTGTAGGAGAATGAAGAGATAGTAAAAGCCCAGAAGACAGGTGTAACCCCATTTTACACGATGTTCCTCTTTCTCCTTGGGCATGCCGACTGTCTCTAGCACTGTTACCATGTCTGCATCTTCCTACTTCAGGAAGACGCCTGTGATCGCACATGGTGAAAGGGACACGGGGGAGAGGGGAGAGATAACGACGTTATCACACCCTTAGCCAGAACTTTGCCTTCTTTTTCCATCTACTTCCTCAGCCCCAATTTTAAGAGCACCTGACAGTAAATTCTCTTCTCTCCCTATTTCTTTCAGCATTAACGTCACTGATGAAGATCCCTACGTTCCCAGCGAATGCCGTGGCAACGAGGGCTCCCTGTCCAACACGGAAGACGACGCAGGGGCAGCTCCTCTTAATCTTTCCAAGAAGCCCGACACGGACACGGGACCTGTTCATGAGCACACGTACAAAAACACTTCCACAGCGGAAAGCCAAAGCTTTCTGGAATTGCAGGACGTGCCGCTGAACCTCTCCGTAAGAGACTCCTGCAACACGGGCAGCCTCCGGAGCGCGGCGCTGCCCGGCGCTGCCGCTCCCAAGGCCGCCGGTGACACCGCTGCCGCGGACACGGGCAGTCCCCAGACCCCCGCGAGCAGCGCTGCGGACAAACCTTCCTTCCCAGCGGCCCGCGGCCAAGCCCAAGACCTGAGAATAATTGACAGCTGTGATGAGCAGAAGCAAACGGCGGCCGTGGCGCTCTGCCAGCTGGCCGCGTACAGCCCCGGCAAGGCCCGCGCGGGCAGCGACGGGCAGGCTCCTCAGGACTGCAAAGCTGCGCCTACGGAAGCTGCCCGTAACTCTTCAGAGGCTCAGGATGCTCAAAGCAACCAAAAAGCAAAAGGACAAAAAAGGACAAACCAGAAAGAATCCACAAAGTCACAGCAAGGCACTAAACGAGTACGGCCAAATGACTGTAGCAGAGTCTTCACTTTGAGGAAGAGAACAAGAGTGTCATAGTAATTCACTTGCCAATGAGTTTGCAGCCTCCAATTTAGTTACCAACTACAGCAGAAAATTCAGCATTCCATCTCTTATTAGATTTGGTCCATGAGAAGAATTATTCATCCACTATTGTGTAAATAGAAAATGTTCATAATTTTATATTAATATTTTTAAGTAATTGAACTTTCCCTTGTATAAGCTCAGGTTTTGATGAGTGAATTTTTGCATTTGTTACTAAAACCAAAGTACACAAGATGAAACTTTTAGGGTTTTTTGCAATTGTATTACTGTAAAATAACTTTTCCACGTTCTTTTCTTACAAGGTGTTTAAGCTCTAGCAACAACGTTGTCCAGTAACATATTGTCATAGTATTTTTCAGGCTTAATTTCATTCAGTAGCTGTTTATTTTTCCTTGAAAAACTGCTCTTGTTTCACTGTGCAGTAGTTTAAATAAGCTTAAAATTAAAACTAGCTATTTAGAATTTACTGTAAAAACTGTTTCGCCTATGGGTGCACTTCACCATTGGAGCCAAAGAGACCAAATTTTGCCACTGAGCAGCAGAGATGTTCGGGCAGGCGGAACGAGAGCCAGCGAAAGCCACTGCCTCTTACACTGGCTAAGATTCAGTTTTACACAGAGGGAGCTCCCAAACTGACGCAGCACTAGCCTAGCAATCTGCACCAACTGAAATGAGCTTTGTCTATCTTTACCCGAACCACTAGGAAAATAACATTGGCAGTTGCAAGATCTAAATGATTTAGGTGCCTCATCCTCTGAAGCTAGACACTGGGTAACCTTGAAACTCCAAGCCAGAAAGGATATTTATATAATAATTTATTTCAGCTGGTGAAGGTTTTATTCCGGTACACAGGTATCACGAATTGTTAGTTTCCATGTACTTCTCTATATGTCCTAGAACTCTTTTCTGCTTCTACAACTGTGTATATAAACTTGTAATTTTTTCAAATAAATCTGTGACCTGTACTTAAAATATATGGAAAGTCATTAATGAACACAAATGCATTCACTGCCCTGCGTCACGCGTACTTGGAAGAAGGGAAGAGCCAAGAAGCGCTGGCTAAATTCTCAGTTTACACGTGGAATTTGGAACGACTCACCAAGCAGCTCCAAGGAAGAGGAATGTCATTTAGCCGATTAATTCCTCTGCATGCGAGATCCCTTTGCGAAGCCCCAGGAATGCCCCTGCCCTCAGTCCCGCTATCCAGGTGGGATGCCCCCATAAAACACCCAGCTAAGCAGCGTGTTTAGGCAACACGGCCGTTGCCGAGCCGCCCGGCGTGCCCCAGGAGCCGGGCAGGGCAGCCCCGCGCCGGCGCCGCGGGCGCTGCGAGCGCGGCTCCCGGCCCCGCCGGCTCCTCACACGGGCGGGAGACTCCGGGGACGACCGTCCCGGTGCCGCTCCACGCATGGGGATGCACGGCCTCCTCCGCACGCTGCACCACCAGCAATTCAGCACCAACGGCTTCCTGTGCTACGGCCCTAGGGAGCAACAGCTCAGCCGGGCCTCCTCCTGAGAAATTTAACGTTGCATGAGTAAAACTACAGGGATTAAGTTTCCGAGTGGTTTGGAAACAAGAGTAACGATGCTGGTCTTCAATAGAATCTGCCATAGAAGAAAGCTTTACACAAACAGAAGACAAAAACATCAATATGAGATTGAACTGAGGGAATATGGTAGCATTATCTCTAATCACGGATATTTCTATAATTTGGGCAGAAAGAATGAGCTTCAATGTTGTACGCTGGCCTGCAATGAAAGAAACATCTAACTGCCTGGGCCAACTTTAAGGCTTTCAGCTTAAGGACAAATGTTTCGGAATTCACAATTCCTGAACATGAAATTACAGGTCAAAACAGTTAAGGCAACCTTAGAAGTCACCTATTCGAGTCATCATCCATACCTATACACAGCTCAATTTCTGTCATTTCTACTAATTCTCTATCCATAAACAAATTATTCCAGAGCTTTACTTCCTTTAGAAGAAGAAATTCTGTCCTGTGGCTCCTATCTAACTTCCTCTCTTGCTGCACCTTATATCAAAACAAGACTGCAGGTAACAGAAAACAATTGTCGTGCAGAGAAGTTTTCCCTTAAGGGAAGAGGGAACCGGCACTTTTCTTTCAACCACAAAACCCTAGTTCTTTCCATCTGTTGTCTGGAACAGAGCAGCATGAGCCCCCATTTTAGTGTCCAGGTGGAAAGGCTGCCCCGCTGCCTCGGGCTTCCTTTTCACCACCACATCCTCCTGAGATGAATGAAACTCTGACCAACATGGGGGACCCACATGGGCTTTCCAACCCTTTCCCGGGGAAAGGCTGCCTGGACGGTCACTGCCCTCAGCTTCCACTTGTGCTGTCCCTTGCTTCCACCTAGGAATAGTGCTCAGCGTCCTCCTAACTCCATCATTTTGTAAGGACAACGCGAATGCAGGAGCGCATTGCAAGCCCGGTGTGCTGGGCCCGGGCTGCTCCTCTTCCCCCATCCCCAGCCCAGCTCCACGTTGTTCCTGTAACCGACCGAACTTCTGCTACAGCCTCAGGTTGGAAAACTCACATATGAGTAATGCAGACTGGTAAATTACACTGGAATAGATAGTATTTAGTATATTTAATTTTTAAATGAATTTTAATGGCAAATAAGGCCCAATGAAGTAAAAGGAAAAAAAGAAAGAAAAAAAGATGTGGCCCTGTTACATGGGTTACGTGTGGTTAACTCTGCAGACCAGATGTGCTCACCAGTAGCTCCTCACTAGCTGACAACCAGCCCATTTAAGGCTCCTGTCTTTCCAACTTTCATCCCGACAAACAGAGACTATTCATTCTCTTTTACTCATCCTTCAGAATCTAATTAATTTCTGCCTTCTGTCTGAGCTCATTCCTGAGGCTCAGGTCACAGAAGGAGCTGCAGTTTAGCCAAGACAGTTTCTGACCAGGTCTCCTACCCAGCCTGAGGGGTGACACGAGGACAGTCTGAGCCCACAGCCCTGTTCTACCAGGAAGCTTCCAGCTCACAGATTCACAGAATGGTTGGCAGGGACCCCCAGGGATCCCCCAGCCCAGCCCCTGCTCCAGCAGGGACACCCAGAGCTCGGGGCACCCGGTCCCATCCAGGCGGGTTGGGGAGATCTGCAGAGCAGGAGCCTCCGCAGCCTCCCTGGGCAGCCTGGGCCAGGGCTCGGGCACCCTCACACCAAAGAAGCTCTTCCTCACATGGAGAGGCAACTGCCTGGGTTTCAACTTGTCCCCATTGCCCCTTGTCCTGTCACTGGCCACCCCGAGAAGAGCTTGGCCCCACACACCTTTACGCTTTCCCAGAAACACGTTGCTGCTGTGACCGGGTTTGCTACTTCCCTACCTCAGCTTTCTCTTCTTGTCCCACAGGTACAAAAAGCTGATCCTTAAGCAATCTGACAAATTAAAAATACACATGTATTAACTTATGCATTCCAAAAGCACTTTCACAGGCTGCAATACATTTTCACAGAACCTCTGCAGAGAAATGAGGTTTTTCAACCATCTCCTCTTTGCAATAGGGAGGCCAAAGTAATTAGAAAAGGGAAACTGACTGAGAGCTGTCTGGGTCTAAATTATCCCATCCAAGACATTTACACCTTTTCATGGGCACTGAGTAATAAACTGTATTAAATACTGCATTTTCCAGTTCTTCTGGAACAAGTCAAATGACCTTCCAAATACAAGACACAGCAACCTAACTAACACTAATTATCAGCTATAAAAGCTTGCGCCGGCTCTCAACTCACACAAGAACAGGCGACAATATCCAAAGAACCAGCCCAGAGTCCGCCCTGAAACCGCGGACAGATCCGGCTACATCCCATCGGGCTCCTGTCCTTGTGGTGTGCAACGGGCCGACCACCAGCACACGGAGAGCTCCTGCCTGCACCCGAGTGCCCCCACGCTCCAGCACAGCCCAACGGGCCCAGAACACGCAGGGACACCAGCCTTTCCAGTCTCTTATTAACTCCTTTCCAGCCCAGTGCTTCACGGACCTGCAAACAACTTAAAACAGTCCACTATATACATCACTTCAAACTGGCCTCTAACACATAATCAGAAGCAAACAGCATGAGCTACCAGGTTTGAAGGGAAAGTTAGTCATCAATTATTTAATATAGTCTATGTAAATAATGAGACTGACATATTATAGCAATATATAGAACTGTTTTATACAGTTGGAAAAAAAAAAAAAGAGGAGGGTGGAGGAAAAAAGAAAACCCCAAGAAACTAATTTCATTTTGGAAAGCAGTATTTATTAAGTATAAAAAAGGCACACCCAAGACAATGCTTTTGAGAGAAGCATCTTAAATATCCCTATAGGCATAATTTTTACTCCAGAATTCAACACTAGAGCCCTTACTCACAGTTCCCATCAGCAAATTCCCGTGTGTTGCCACATATTAAATCTCCGACACGACAGAGGCTAATTCCTAGGCAGGGCAGCGCGGAGCGGCAGCGACTCACCGTGCGCCAGGCGGGAGGGCAGCAGCAAACCTCTGCGGGCGAGCTCGGCCAGCGCCAGGCAGCCGCCGTGCCACGCGCTCTCCGTCTCCTGGAAGCTGCAGCGACAAGAGGGACACGGTTTGGAGCCACCCCCTTCCCTCCTGGGGTCCCACTTGTCATGCAGGACGCCCAACATTTGCAAAGACACTTTAGCGAAATCAGCACACGTTTATCAATTTCTTATTTCTGACAGGCTTCTAAAACTACAGAAATGAGCCAAGTTGAACATGTTTTTCATTCTGTGCAACATTCACGTTGCTATAAAAATGAGCAAGTGAGAAACGTTCAAAACAAAGAAATAAAATGTTATCATACAAATGTAGCCTCATTATAGATTAGGGCAATTCAAGATACTCAACCCAAAATCAATCTTCTAGTATGCTGGTATAAGATACAAAATTATAGAACATTCCCAAAGAGGTAATGAATTTAATGGCAAATTCACATCTCTGATTTAGTAAAAGATGCTCAAGCAATAGTTTGCAGTAACAAAATTACGCAAGTTTGTGCACTGCAAATTAGTAAAGGTGTTTGTAGCCTTAAAAAAAAAAAAACCAACATGCAAACGAGTGACTTGTAGAGAACACACGAAAAAGTAACCAGAAACGATGCGTGTTTTTGGAGGACTGGCAGATGAAACAGCAAAAAAGCGGGCAGCTTGCACACTCCATGCTTAAATACACAAGATGTTCTGTATTTTGTATTAGAAGAGCAGGAGGAACCTAGGAACCAAACATGAAAGGGCCGAAGGAGGTGACACCAGAAGCTGCCCATTCCCGGCTCCCGGCTCCGAGGGCACCGGCAGAGGCGCCGGGCCAGGCGGGAGCAGCCAGGGCGCTCCCGGCGCTGCCTCCCCCCGGCTCCGGCAACCTGCCCTCGAGGGACTTGCCGAGCCAGAGGCAGCAGCAGGGCTGCTCTCATGTTTAATGAGCACCGGCGGGACTCTCCTCCATTAGCCTCTGTAATCCCTTCTGGAACTCCCTTTACACTGCTGGCTTCCACAACATCCTGTGGCAATGACTTCCACAGTTTAATTACAATGGTGTCAAGAAGCGCTTCCCAAGCTCCTGCGTGTCGCCTTGCAGCAGCGAGCACAAGGCAGCCGTTCGCTTTCCCTCTTTCCTTCCTACTGATTTCATACCTCTCCATTTTATCCTCTCCAGCTTTTCATTGCACCAGGAAGGATTTAGCTTTCGTCACCAGCGCCCTCACTGCTCGGAGGGCAGTCACTCAGTGTCACCACCATCCCGTGACACCTCTGCACTTTTACCATTTTAGCGCGTCCTTCCCTGACCCGCGGAGCTCGGCCGCGCGCAGGGCGCTGGAGAATCACACGTGAGCACAACGAGCATCTTGGCTGGGTTCCTACCTACCTAACGTAGGTTCATGTGAGGTTCTCCTTTCAGTCATCCCTCGTTTTCCCTGTGTTAGCTAATTTTAGGTCACCCAATTTCATCACCCCGCTGCTGACCTTTTCTCCTGTATCATTTCTGACCATCTTGAAGAGCACTGGGCTCCTTCAGGTCTCCGTGCGACCATGTTGATAACCCCTCTGCGTGGCAAAAACCAGTAATTTTTCCATTTCCCATTCCCTCCTGGTCTGTGATTTTATTAAAAATCATGAGCGATTGACATTTTTTCTTCACTCAATATCTAGTTAAGAAAATAAAAATAAGAGAGGAGATTCCCTCTGTCCTTTGCCACATTTGTTCCCCGGTGTTTCTGAAGAAAGCAGGTCACTGAATTACCAGCTGCATTACTCATCCCCACGACTTGAAAAACAAGGGAAGAAAATACAGTGAGCACCAGCCTTTGAAGCTCCAGGGATAATTGAGACCAGTGGCACCTCTAAAATTAATCCCAGTAGCACAGTGGAAATGACATGTCTAAGTAGATACTTTCTGGCAAGTTTTTAAGACTGTGGAGCTTCATTTTTTGAATGGCTTATTCTTTGAGTTGATGGTTTTAGTTTGTACTCTCAGCCACATGAGAACATTTTTGAAAATGTACATTTGAGTGGCAAAAGGAATACTGATAATTTTTCTTTTTTTTTTTTTTTTTTTTACAAATTAAGAAATTAAGCCTTTGGTTAATAGCTCAATCAAAAATCAGATGGTTCTTCTCAAGCTATGGATGGTTTGGATCTTAAAGTCCAAGTCCTTAACAAGGACCCGATCATTAACCTAATGTAAAATAAGCATACCCTACCTGTTCAATACTTTATTCCTTTACATGCTCGATCCGGATGCCAAAGCAGGACATGCAACAGTAAACGATGCCAAAAGGACTTCCCGATGACTACCCCTGACCAGAGCATGGATTCACCCAGCCCAAAACCTCTCTCTCACACAGGGCAACAGTAGATGTCTATGGTACAGCATAAGAACAAGGCAAGTGAGCACCAACCCTCTCCAAAATAAAACTCCAGCAACTAGTGGACAAACACAAATTTTGAAAATGTATCTTAGCATTCACAGCGTCCTGTGGCAGGACTTGTTATAGCTTAAGCATGTGTTGCGTGAACAAAACTACTCGTTTCGTTTGCTCTGTAGCAACAGCCTCCTAGTTTAGGTTATTTCTTCAAACATAACATCCAAAAGGCAACAACTTCCACGTCATTCCTGGGTTCCCAACCTTGTGCTACAGCCCTTCGACCCACGACTCTCCCTGGCCTCCCCGCACACAGCGCTGGTGCTCAGCAGCCTGTGGAAACCCATCTCCAGCTCTACGGCACCTCCAAGCCTGCCGGCATCAGTGGCACAACATCCCTGACACAGGCACGCGACGGGTTTGGAAAGCAACGAGCTGAGGAGTACATTCGTTTTTTGCAAGGATCAACTTCAGTCCTTCTGCCTTATTTTAAAATGTCTAGGCATTAGGAACAGTTTCTTCACTGAACACTCTTAGCATACTCACGTCATGGAAGATTTTGAAATCTGGCAGAAAAAAAAAATCAAAGCATATTCTTTTCAAAAATGCATAGAATTTTAGACCTGCCTTCCTAACTGCCATTGTCCTGTTTTGGGAGCAAGCAAACTGAAGATGCATGGAAAATGTGAAGTAAGATTTTTACCTAAAACACTCCAGCAGAGACCCAACCACATCATCTGCTAATTCTTTTGGAAGTCTTCCAGTTATTCTACCAATTCTACAATAGGAAAAAGAAACAAAGTGATTAGTACTGTTTTTGATAAGTCAAATTTAAAAAAAAAAAAAAAAAACCACACCCAGAAAATTAGTTACTGGAATTTTACAATAAGATGTCTGACTTCAAAATCACAATGCACTACCCTGGTGCTGTCACCCTAAACAACCCATTTGGAACAAAAACAATCCATTTGAAAATTTAACACAGGAAAAACAAATTCAAGTGGAAAAGACAACATGTTTCACAGAAATGCTACTTGACATCCTCAACTTATGTCTTACCCAGAATGTCTATTCCCAAACATAACCGATTTTTTTTTATCCCACTTTCATAAACACCCAGGAACAGTAGCAGTTGTGGCTCCACAGCAGCAGCTGTGCTGGAGCTATTTGAAATAACTGGGAATATTGAGAAGAAACATAATTTATGAATCACAGGATATCAGATTGTAATTCTAACTTATTTAGTTTATTAGAGTAACCACAAAAAACCTACCCTTTTGCTGCAGACCACCTGACAATAGTGTCTTTGTCTTTCAGTCCAACCAACAATTGCTCTGCAGATTTTATTCAAACAAAACAGATTACTCTCATTTCTATAACAACAGAAAGATTTCTTAAAATGCTGAAAATCCACTTCCCTCTTAATATAAGTGCCTTCTAGTTCAAACAACACTTGTATTCAGATTTCTAACATTTGTACCACAAGCATGTTTTGAAAACAAAGAAAAAACAGAGTCAGAATTGTGAGAATTCTCAGAGAGGCATTAGTTTGAAAATTTAAGCACTTGGCAGATTCAGCATGGAGAATAGTGATTTTTTTCAGTGATTCATTAACTAACTCCATTATCAAAGTTTTCTAGTGTAATTTATATCTATTTATTTACAGCATATCCACCAGTAAACTAGCAGAAAAACTGCTAACCCACGCTTACTAATAGAGAATGCTGTGACCTTTGATACTGCCCCAGCTTAAAACTTTCAACTATAATGCTTCCATTTTCACGTAACAAATTTTATTTCATTTTTCATTACTAATTTCAGTTGATCTTTCCCCATGTCAAATGCTGAAGGGATCTCTTCCCCATTCCTGGACAAGGCTGCCCAAAAGCACGTCGAGCCCTCCATCCTCCCCCGTGCCCTGAGTGCTGCCCTGCTCCGGCCACGCCGCAGCGCCGAGCTGCATCCCACAAAAACCAGCAACTGGGATCCAACCAGCTACACACGCCGCAGGCTCCTGGAATTCTGCACTAGTGCAAATAGCTATGATTTTCTCAATACTAAGAAACTGAATTGTTTTCCAGTGTATATTTAGTTAACAGGCACGGCAGTCACGTCTGTCCAGTTTCAACACACCTAAAACATCTTCGATCTCTCCTGGAATATCATACTCCTCTTCCTCATCAGTCTCGACGGCAGCAGCAGTTGTTACCTTCTGATTCTGCACAGCCAAACTCTGAGCTTGCAGATTGGCAGCCAGAGACCGACAGCCACGCTGGTATCTGCACACAAGGAGGACACGGTTAGTTTATTTTGTGGATTTAAGTTGCATCTGAAGCGGGTGCACGTGGCCAGCAAGCATTCCTGACCACCTCCAACGTCCACCTGTCCGGCTACTTTAGACAGGTAGGGGAAGGCACCCCCCATTCGCCTCTCTCCCGACCTAGTTGTCTCCTTTCCAGAAGGACGAGGTGATTCCTGTGCAAAACTATGCCATACATTTCATCATCTCCCTCCTCTTCCTGTTTCAATAACCTACTTTCCACCAATGGCAATGAAAGAAATACAGGCAAAAGTCTCACCTCTCCCTAAATATCCATCCAAAATTTGAAGAAAACAAAGAAAAAAACTTGCTAATTTCTTTTTTTTTTTTAATGTTAAAGCCAGATCAGTCCATTCTGAATACGCTGTACGCAGATATCCCGCCTGTGGTGTAGATACATTCTTACAAGAGATATACTTTACATGCTAAACTGACTTTTGCCATTGGGCAAGGTACATTCTCCACCTAAAAGGAATTTGCTGTGCCTAAGGACGTTCTCAAAAGTCGGAAAAAGAAATCCAGTAAAAAAATAGTCACCGATGGAGCCTGCAATTTTAAAATATCAGTGCGAGAAATCTGAAAAAGAGTTTGCCCTCCGGCAATAAGTAAAACCAGACACCAGAACCTGACTAATATGCAAAACTAAAGTGGGATTGCAAACCACTTTTCCCCTGTGAACTTTCTATCGAATCAGGGTAGAACAATGTAATGGGAAAGTTATGCTCCCTCTTACAGAATTGAACTAGATCAACTTCAGTAACAAAGGTCACCCTCTTCCCATCTTCACCAAGTTATACATTATATACGAACAGGCTTCTGCTTGCATAATGTGCAACACAAAATGGCAAGAGACTTGGCTTGTCACATCACTGGTTTACCATACCAAAATTAAAAGAAAATACAGGAAACTAAATACAGAAGAATGCTCCTGCATCCCAAGAATTCAAATGAAGCTAGTCTTCATTCTCAAATAACATGTGGGGGTGAGAGGGAAGAAGGGAGATTTTTACTTCTTTTCAATGAGGACCGGGCAGTCAAAGGGATGGAGCTAGGGTGGTGGGGTGTGTGTGTGTGGGGCGGGGGGTTGTTTGGTTTTTGGTGGTAGTGGTGGTTGTTTTAGTTAGTTTTGAGTCTAGGTTATTTTTTTTCTTTTCTCTTGCAGATTTTACGTCGGTTTCAGCTTTAAACTAACCTCCACTTGGCTACTTTTGGTTTCAGGAACGTCAGTCCGAGTCGTTGAACGAGTTTCATGCCCAGCTTGCGAAGAACCATCTGGTTGCTCTCGGACAGCCTGCAGTTATCGAGGCACTCGAGTACAGTGGGAGCTGCAAAAGAAAAGGAAGGTGCTATGGGTGCTACCCTGGCAGCCCGAGGAGGCCGACACGGCTGCTCTGCCGCCAGGCTCGGCGCCCGGCACCCCTCCACCTTGCTCATCTCTCATTTTCAGGCAGCTCCCATCTAACCCCTCTGCTCAGAAAATGTTAAGAGGATGAATGTCCATATACACAGTATTTCCCACTCTAAATGCACGTGTAAACAGACAGCAAGAAAACCTTTCCTTTGAACACATCAAAGGGGACAAAGTTATTCTATAGCAAAGCAGAAGACATGGGGCTAATGGAAAGGATGAGATTAATGAGCATCGCAGGGCAGAATTCAGACTTTTCACAAGGAATACATTCGTACTACACACAGAACGGCCCGAAGCAGTTACTGACTATTTCAAAGAATGGGCCTCGGGCTGACGGGTGCTTTATAGGGACGAGCAGCACAGTCTCCCAAAGAGCTGCCACTCTTGCTACCAACGCTGCAAACATTGGATTACAGTGGCACAAAGTTACACAGTCTCTTCTTCTAGTTTCCTATTGGGCTTACAAATATACCATGAGATGAAGGATTTAACCATCACTTCAAAGCCTAAGAAATAATATGGCAGGAAATTTTAAAACTTCTCCTCCTCTTCAAAAAAAAAAAACACATTAATGATTAGACCTGACATACTGAGATATTAATGAAATTAATACAAATAGACAAACGAGTAAAGTCAGTAATGATTATTTCAGTATCTTTCAGCACTTTGTTGTTTTGGGGTTTTGTTTGCTTTTTTTGGAATTGTTAATGCTAGAGACAATGCTTTAAAAGGAGGAAGCTGCAGAAACAATATTCACAGCTAGAAACATTTTAAGAATATTTAAATGCAAACCTCCTCCAAGTCCTGCCACCTCCTGAATCATTGGAATAGGCACAGCCCCATGCAAATGCTTTCAGGAATTGTGGTTTTTTTTTTTTTTCTATAATGCAAAAGGCAGCTTTTAAAACAGTAGTTTCCTTTTTTTTTTTTCTTTTTCCCCGATTTGATCCTCACAACTATTATAAACTTGTAAAAAATTAGTCATCTCTGATAGTCTGTCTCTCACGCTTTCCCTTTCCCATCAGTTTCCATTTAACATTTACTTCCAAGTGCTAAGTATTCTACCTTTTCTGTAATAAACTCACTCACAATATGCCCATGACTTTGCTCAGGTTACCAGATTTGTAACTAATACATTGCCTTTGTAGATGCCACAGGCCAAAACACTTAATCCTACCAACGCAGTTAATGTCATTAGTCATTTTTTTAATCAATTGGGGCAATATTTTGTCAGCGTTTCCCAGTGTCTGCTCATGATCAGCCTGCACAGACATCCCTCATTCTTTCCTCTTTCTTCTTCATTATCTTATCTCCACCTCCACCCCTATCTCAGGCACTGAGAGACGGCCCCGCGATGTCAGTCCCAGTTTCTGCAGGAACCGCACACTTCCCAACTCTAGATATAGATCAACAAAGTTTCTTCTCTTAAATCAAAACAACTCCCAAACCACCTCCTTCTGGTGTTTTTTTTTCCCCCCTCCTAAATCAATCCATAATCATTCTAAACTGAGTTTATGCCTTTGCTTGATTCTTATCAATAACTCAAACCACACTACTGGTGTTCTGGAAAAAAATGTCGTCCTTTGTATTGTTTTGGTACTGCCCTTCATCTTCTCCTACCTCACTTTGTGACTATCAAAGAGCTATAAAAAGCAAACGGTTATTTTGCACTCCCCATCATATTCTTGGAATCATCATGAGATGAATAAATTCCCACCACGCTGCTCAGCAACCTGCAGGGCTCTGTCTGGTGCCTGCCCACCCCAGCTGTATCCATCCCCATCTCTCGGCGTCGTAGGCTTTCTCATTCCGAGGGTACGACCGGACCGTTCTCTCAGGGACCTGGTTACACAGCAGGCTCCTGAATACTCAGATTTCCTAACTCCTGAGCTTCAGTTAAAACTTCAACTTCTTTGCAAACACTTTGCAAACAGCAGCAGTAGATATGGTCTATTGAATTTCTTTAAAATATTTGACACATCTTAGAGTTTTTATGTTCCGTATTCAGCCCTTTATTATGGTAGAGGCCAAGCTGCCAAATCTTGGACACTTTGATGATATGTTCCAATTCGTTACTGCTCAGCTGCACCTTCTGCTCCATGAGCTTTGTCATCTTTTTTCTTTCTTATTTCCCCATGCTTTATAATTTTCCTATCAATTTTAATCTTTACATCAGCTCTCCTTATTAGCATATCTTTCTCCTCGCAATTTTTATTAGAATGGATTTAAAAACAAAAAACAGAAAGTCACAGACTTACCAAATGGTAAACATTCATCTCTCTTGCCATGTTTAAATAATTGTGCCTACAAACAGAATAGGGAAAAGAAACGTGAGATTATAAAAATCCTAAAGCAAAATATGCACCATGTATATAGTTACTGCAAGAACATTATAAAAAAATATTTTGTAATGCGTAGCATTTGCTAACTTTTATGGCACTAAAAGGAGAAAGTGTTAGGGTGCAAGTGCGACTTCTCTGCAGGCAGACAGAGTCAAGGCTAGGCAGGCAGCCCTTCCCTGCCCGCCCCTAACGGAGGCAGCCAGCGCTGGGAGCCGCGGGAGCGGGGAGCCAGAGGAGCGGGGAGCCGGAGGAGCGGGGAGCCAGGGCGGCAGCCGCGGGAGCTCCGGGAGCCCTGTGCTGTCCAGCCCAGCGCGCGGCCACCCTGCAGCCGCAGGGCGACCAGCTCCTCCTGCTCTGGAGCTCCAGAGAGGCAGGGGAAGCAGCGGAACAGGAACGGGGATGAAGGGGGGGCCCCGTGCCCTGCTCGGCCCCTCGCCGCTGCCCCGCGCGCTGCCAGGACGCGGTGCGCGCGAGAAGCTGCGCTGTTAGCGCCAAACCTGCCACGGGCTGCCTGGCCAAGTATCCTACATGGCTCTTCCAACGGCTGTTGGAAATTCCACGCTGAACTGGACCAGACTTGCCTAGCAGGGTACCAGGAGCGGCAAGCAGGGTAAGTTTAGCTCCGAAGGGGCGGCGGGAGCGCAGGCCCATTCCAGCTCGCGCTGCTCAGCACAAGCTGCCCCGCTCTCCTAACACTGCCAGGCCACTGCAAACACCCCCGTCAGGCACATTCCTGCAGCGAGGGATTTTAAAAAGACTTTGAGTATTTAACCTTGCAAAGAGCTTCCATCCTAAATTCTACAATTACAGGTAAAAACCTAGTACGATGAAGCCTCAATTCTACATTAAGACGGACTATTAACACCGAACATAAACAGGTTACACAGTTGTAGTAGCTCCTCGCTTCTCCCACAAGGCATCAAAACTACCGGCTTCACCTACTTAATTTTCCTTTGTTTCATCAGAAGAAAATCTTTCCAGGAACCTTGCATGGGATTTAAATGAGAATTCAGACTTGCCTTTAAAAATATGTTCTTTCTCACAAATACCGACTGCACAGATGCCTCCGATACTGCAGGTGTGGTTAAAAGCAACAAAGGCAATAAAAACACCTTTAGGCTATGTACCTATTTATTTAGTTACTAAACTGCATTGCAGGATGCTAAATTAGTGCTTCTGGCTAGCAACACTACAAGCTGCATAGTGGAATTTGGAACAGATACTGAATTGCCATCAGTCACTAAACAATTCTAAGGCAGATTTTAAAATATTTTCAAAGTATTTACAAAGCAGAAATGCTACGGAACTACTTCAGGCCAATAAAAGCTACTAATAGAAACAAGTACCAACACAAATAGTGCAAATATACCATAGCTTTTACCAAGGTACCTTACCAAGGTAGCACTGTCTCCAAATCTCCCCCATGCAAAGGAAAACTAAAACTTGTACTACAACAGCCCAATACAGAAAAGCAACAATAAAAATTTGCATAAGGTTGGCAGAGTCGACAACTCTGGAGTGCCCCTAAATTTGTCCCCAGCAGGGACACCCAGAGCTCGGGGCACCGGGGCGCATCCAGGCGGGTTGGGGAGATCTGCAGAGCAGGAGCCTCCGCAGCCGCCCTGGGCAGCCTGGGCCAGGGCTCGGGCACCCTCACACCAAACAAGTTGTTCCCCACATGGAGACGGAACTGCCTGGGTTTTAATTTGTACCCACTACCCCTCGTCCTGTCGCTGGCCACCCCTGAGAAGAGCTTGGCCCCTTCCTCCCTTCATTCTCCCCTCAGGTACTTATACACATTGACCAGATCCCCTCTCTACCTTCTCTTCTCCAGGCTGAAGGGGCCCCGCTCGCTCAGTCTCTCCTCACACGAGAGCCGCTCCAGCCCCTTCATGGCGTTCGTCGCTCTGCGCTGGTCCCCAGGGAGGTTGGGCAGTGCCACCCAACCCCGGGCCGCCAGCAGGTCCCTGGGAGCCCAACCGAGCACTGGCAGCTCCTCACAGGGCCGAGGCTCCTTCTTGACCAGCCCTTGCACCGGCACTGGGGGTCTGTCCCCCAGGTACTTTCTCATCAGTGCCCACAAAGCACTGATGCCACCCCCAGAGCCCCGACGCACTCCCTGATTTTAGCTCCTCGGCTCTGGCACCTTCCCACATGTTTCTCCATTTGCCTCTAGTTTTCACATCCTCGAGGCCGACTTTGAATCTAGCCCCGAGTCCTTGGGGAAAGGCTCACCGGGAGGCATCACCTCCTGAGCAAGACATGGGAAGACGGTACCCAACACGCAAGCAGGAAAGGAAAGAGGGAAAAGAAAACCCTTAAATGTCTTCAGGAGACATTTCCAAAATGCTTTTCTAAAGGGAAATAGGGCAGCAGACTCCTGGCCCACTACTCAATGCAGAAGACTGAAGCCGGCCAACCCCCTTTCACACGTTTAAAAAAGCAACACACCTTCCCCTACACTGCTTCACTACATAAACCACCTCAGATCTGCCTTTCAACAGAGAACCACCACTCATGCAAAGGCAGCAGGTACTTACAATACACGTTCACGTGATATAAACATCGTAACAACTTTGTACAACAATATTGGAAAAAAATATCTGAGTTGCTTATTTTCTCAGAAAACAAAGCAGGCTGGACAAGATGGCTCCAAACTGTAAGTCTATACAGGAAGGTCATTCAGTAAGAGGACATGAACCGAGTCCAATAATGCTGACCGTTTTTAGAGGGCAGTCTGAAGGACTGCATAAGACCATCTCTCATAAGCACATTTTGTAACGTGAGAGCTCAAAATAGAGAAAATATTAAATTTAAGAATACTTTACGTATCGCTCAAAATAGAGAAAATATTAAATTTAATTAAGAATACGTATCTGCCTATACAAGCCTTTCTCCATATAAAAAACATAAAATATATGAAAGTTTCAAACATTCAAAGCTTACAGCTACACAAGTTACAGGCATCCACTCCCTTCTGGGGCAAGCTGAGTACCTGCTTCAGATGCCCTTCCTCACTCCTGGATTCAAGCATTTTATTTTTAACGATTTTAAGAGCTTTTAAGCTCTAATTTTTAAGCTTTTAAGACAAGTGCAAATCAACTGAAGTATGTTGTAGCAACCACGTTATAAATTAAGAGTTAAACTTAAGATTTGGAGCTAGTATTTACACGGTTTTGTTCAATAGAGTATCTGCTACCTACTGATTTTGGATTGAACACAGTTGAAAATGAAGAACATCTACAAGAAAATAACCTCTGTTCACAACCACTGAAGAACACGGCAGGTTAAATCCACCAGCTTATATATATCCACCAGTCTTGGTAAGTGATCCATTAGGTATTTCCTTGTATCAGATAAAAGTTTAATAGCAACTATTACCAAAAAATACTATTTACAGAAGTGAGTGGATAATAACTAATCTGAAAACTACTCTTTAAATGTTCACCAAAGCAAAAAAATCCAGCTTTCATGAACTGCTCGTGTTTTAATGCAGAAATGCCGAGTTTTCATGACTTTGTGGCAAGTCCAAGCAGCATGCAGAAATGTTCCCCATGCCTGACCTGCCAAGCCTGTGAGCTGGGTGCATATAGTCTCCAGGAGAAATGAAAGGAGCATTTTAGCATTTCACCAGGAATGAAGAGAAAACAAAACAAAAAAAATAGAGGGGAAAAAACGACAAATGAGCACTAGCTTCTTCAGTTTAAACTTCCTGCCTCGAAGGGAAGGAAACATCCGAGGGACATTATTTCAGCAAAATCTGATACAAACAAAATAATTAACAAGCTTGGTTGGCCACCTGTACAGGCATTTTAGCGTCAACAGCCAGCAAGACTGAAAGTGAGGAGCCGTCTGCCGAAGTCTCCGAGCGATCGAGTTGCGCCACCGTCTTCCCACTTTAATGAGGGCACAGAGCACACACCGACCTACCCAACCTGTTGAAAACTATGCAACTCCCTCTCTTATAAATAATTAAGCCACCTACAAATTAGAGAAAATCAGCGGTGTGCAAGCAGTGACGACTGTCAAGTCTGGTTTTGCTTTAGAAATAGCATGGTGCAAGGAAAACAAACCCTAGTTTCTTAGTAATCATGGCAGAAACGCACCACACCTTCCAATTGTCTGCACAGCCCCGACCTCTATGAGCGGTATCAAGGAGGATCATCTGTGGGACACACTCCCCAAGCTACACAAACCAGCGGCGCTGCGGGAGCAGGTCCGTCTTCCTGCCGAGCAGGAGGCGCAGGTCTCTGCTTACCCTCTGGCCGTAAGCAGGCGAGGGGAGGCCGAGCCGGCGCCACGGGAAGACGGGAGCGGAGAGAACGGCACCTTTCGTTACTCTGGAGCACCCCCTAGTAGCCGCAAACCCCGGCGGGCCCGGGGAGGGCTGGGCAGCATTCCCGCCTGCCGCTATCCGTGGGGATGGGAGCCAGGAGCCGGCAGCACGGCCAGCCCAAGGATGGGGCTCTGCGGCCACGCGGCTGCGTCAAGGCCCCTTCTTCTTACTAAATACTGTTAATTTATCAGGAAAATGGGAGGCAGCGTTATTTATATAACACTCAGCGTTATTTCCATGTTGAAATCCCAAGGAGTGCAGACTGATGCACGGAGAGTGAACAGAACAGCTACCGTCTGACCGAGCAAGGGCAGGGTGGGAACACACAGATTTGAAACGCTTCAAGGAGGGGAAAAAGAAGAAAAAAGTGGCCTTGAGACAGCTGCAGTCCTGAACCTTGGAATAACCATGGCACTTGTTTTGTGAGAAGGAAAAAACCCAAGTGCCTACACAGTGTTGGACTGCTCACTGACAGAGAAGGTGCCGAGTGAGGAGCAGGCCGTCAGTGCTTCTCCCTGCCTCCACGCTGCTCCGTGCAGCCCGGACGCGGCCAGGAAGCGACAGCACCTTCCTCAAAAAGATAAAAAGCAAAAAAATTAACAAAATAAAAAACAATCGCCAACGCCAAGAGACAATCCCGGTATCACAAATTACTGGAGAACGCCAGAAACAGGGAGACTTAGGAAACGCTCTGTTTGGAAATGTCCTATTTCTGTGCCTCTGGGTCTGGAAGAATAGACTCGGCGAGTTCTTTCTCCCCTGCAGCAAAATTTACATAAGCAGCTATTGCTACATAAGCATTAGAGACAGCTCAGGGAAATGCCCTGTTCTTAAGGCTCTCGAGTTTCATCAGATCACGGCGCAGGGCGTTGTATTTTTTTTTTTTTTTTTTTTTTTTTAATTATTACTCACACTTGTATACTGAATCACTTATAAAACAAATAAGGTTTAATAAGTTTCAGTGCCCGGGGCTACCTCAACATGATGACATCTCTGTCACGCAAGAACTGGGAGTGCTGCGCCCCGCGGCAATAACTAAAAAGCTGTTTGATATAATGGCAGGTTTAAAAGCAAACCTCCGGACCAAGAGAATTTAAAATGCAGATTCTCGAAACAGCCTAGATGTTTCCTTCCAGTAAACAAAAGCTGGAGAAAAAGTTGGCTATTTCTTAGCCATCCAGCATTTACAGCCTTTCAATTAGGCAGCCACGCAAGCTACCCTAGGGCTTGAGCAAAGCGGGAGCCACGCAACACTTTGGGGCTGCAAGAAACGCAGTTTCTTCTCCGCGGTTCGGAGAAGCAGCCGAGGCTGCAACGCGCCCGCACCTGCCAGGCAGGGCTGCACAACCGGGCACAGGTGCAGAGGGAAAGGGAAGGGAAAGCCCTGGTGGAAGGGAAGCGGGGACCCGGCTGCGTGCTGCCCGCGCGGCACCGCGGGCACAGGGGAGCGCAGCCGCGCGGCCGGCAGCGTGGGCTCGGGGAAACGCAGCAGGTTCGTGCCGTTTGAAAGCAGGTCGCCCGCTGCCATCTCACTGCAAGCTCTGTCCTCCCTGCACACCATAAATACCATAAAATTACAATCCCCAAATCGGTCTAATGAGGAGAGGGCAGGACTCTTCCCCTCCACCTTTATGCAGGGCAATATCACATCCCTGCGGACCCGAGGGTGGCTGTGTGCCCCCATGCACCAAACCCACCCACACAGGGCTGGGGCTTTGCCCTTCAAGTAAAGAATTGCCAGATGAATGAGCTAAGGATTTTTAGAGTTGTTGGCACAAATCACAGTCATCTGTCACAAGGATGTATCTGCTTTACACAGTGAGCAATGACTGACTTTGGTTCTCTGGGGGCTGTTAAAATCTTTTGGTTCAAAAGAAACATTTCTTTAAATATTGCTTTTATTTTTGGCTACTAGTTTTAGTTTAACAACATGCACTTGTTAAAAGCATTTTATAAAATACCCAATATTAAACTCCTGAAATAAAGATTTCCTCCTCCACTTAAACACAGCTAGGTACACAAATCCCTGCATATATCTCTTTCCAAAAACACCCTCTTCCCTAACAAGATAATATGTGCTTACATTGTACCAAGATTTAAAAAATCCGGGACTGAATGCAAGAAAAGGTCTTAAAATTTCAGCCTGCTCACACCTACCACCTCAAGAGGAAGCACTACCACTGGGACACGACTGAAATGGGTTCAATAAATAACTTCTCTCTGGCCAGGGGGAGCAAAATAAAAGCACATAAAGGCAAGAAGGCAGGAGGCTGCTGCTTCCAGGTATATTGTATCACATTCGAGTTTCGATTCTACTTGTTCAGGATTCACCTGTTTCGCTTAGTATGCACTAATGAACAGGTGGATAGAGCCAAAGCCAAAGTCAAAGGAATTATGACAGAACACTAATGTATTAAACATCCTGCAGGTCTCATCATGCACCTCGCACGGCAAACACTCAGCCTCCTTTCCAGATCTGACAATAAAATGATGAAACATCATTCTGCCTTTTGAAACCTCCTGCAACGCACACAAGTAACGCTTCCTCTTGCTTCAACAGCAAGTTCTAAGTTATTCTAAATATAGCAAGTTTCTCCCAGCTTCTGATTTGGGAGAGCTGCTGAAGGAAAATACCGTCACGCACACGGGCACTCGCTTCTTTGGCAGAGCTTTGAGCACCGTCCCGCAGGGCTCTGTCCCCAAAGCAGCTCCTCGGACTCACACAACTCCTAGAGCCGCCACACAGGGTGGCACGCACGGCGCTGCGGGCGCCCGGGCGGCACCGCGGCCCCGCCGCAAAGGCGGCAAGGAACAACCCCTTCTCCTGCTACCACCCTCACAACACTGCATCACAAAAATATAATGTTTATCAAAATATCATTTTTAGAATCTAGTAGAATGAATGAATTTTAAAATGAATCTTGCTACTATCTTACCATGCAGTTCATTTTTTTTTTTTTCCTGTGTGTAATACATTAATTGTAAAACACAAACCAAGGATCCAGCTCCTGAGTCAAGAATTTTTATAATCACACATAGCAAACAGCATTGAACAAAGGCACTAGTTCAGATTTGCAAAGAAAAACTCAGGAAAGTAATTTCTTCAGCCTACTCAGAGACACTATCTAGTAAGTTTAGTATTTCTGGGAGCAAATATTTTAGCTGGAAAAGAACAGCCAAAACTTTGACAATTCTCGCACATTTGGGTTATCCACTCCGAAATGCCCAGGAAAGCTGCTCGGACACTTCTATTTGTGTGTTTCCTATTAAATTTTCAAGGGTTTTGTACAAGGTCAGAAAAAGAATGATATAACTACTATATATGCATAGAATGAGATGTGGAAATGGAATGAGATGTTTTGAGCATTCTTTAGCAGCACCCATGCTGACAACTTCTATTTCATTTGCTAATGACAAGTGTGCTTAAAGAAAACATACCCACGTGGAGGTCCCAGCTCGGGACGTGATGTAAGGACAAGAAGCCTCTTGGTGCATTTGCTATTGAAGTCCTACTACAGCAATACCATATGGGAAAAGAAAAGCAAAAACACACCAAAACCACCATCGATGCAATCCTGTATCTCTTAAAGGAAAAGCCGTATTTACCAGGGCCTGGAGCATGCCGTTCATGACGATAGTCCCCTCCATGGTCTGATAGGAGGATTTAGATAACATGGAAAGGATCCAGTCCAGAAAATCAGCCATCCGCTTTTGTCGCACATCAAGACGGACAATAAACCTGTCACAGGAAAAACAGAAATAAAACCCTGCAGTTACAAACTTCATGACTCTCAGTTAAAATCTGATTTTTCCTGCTATCCAAGCTGGTTGCAGCTCCCAGAGGCAATTCTGCTAGGCATTTTCCTACACCTTTTGGGGGTGGAAATAGCTCAAACATCAGCTCTTTAGGCTTCTGTTTGTGAGCAAGGCTCTGATCCAAAACTTGACTCAAAAATATAGCAACCTATTAACTAGAATTGTGAAGGTGTCTCATTGTATTTGTAAAGCTTCAAACTTTACAAAGTTCCCAGATCAAGTTACTTTCATCACAACTGGTGAAAAGCTGAACTGAATACACAGTAATTCTCACCAAGAACAGCAGCCCTGCACATGTGCTCCACAACAGATCCACACTTGACGTGTGTCACACGGAGCTGTTTCAAAGGGCACACAGCCATCACCCAGAGCAGATTTTTATTTCCAATTTTTGATAAGGTCAAATACTTACTGCTTATCAGGGAGAATGGATCAGAAGATGCATTTTAATCTGTTTTTATAGAGGACCAAAATAGTTGATCATGGTTAAACTATCTCCCTGAAGGTATTAATGGAGCCATCCCCAGTGCTTGTCAAGCCACAGTTAGGGCACGTGCTTCAGCACCTGATAACTCGGTCTGTGGCCCAGCAGAGGCATCCACACTACATTTAAAACTTTGCTCCCAATACAGTCAAAGGAAATAAGGAGGCACACGGCAAAGCCCACAAGATACGACTCCCCGCCCGCACAAGCAGGGTAAGCAGAGCCCACACCCCGCTCCTCCGCACACCTACTGCCAGATAGGGAGCTACGCTAACAGCTTAGGAGCAGGGAATACTAAACCCAAAGAAAGCAGGAAACCCTGATCAGACATGAGATCACTTGAGTCAAAGCCCATGGCTACTTCTGCTCAGCAATATAAGCACAAGGAAGCAGGGCCCGGTTAAGGGTTTACCTTTTTTTTTTTTTGTTTTGTTTTAACTAGTTTTTTTCCCCTTAAGAGAGCAGCAAGGACAAAGCTGTCTTGTGCACAAGCAGCTACCGTGCAGCAGGTGACAGGTCCCTGGAGTCCCTTCCCGCCCCAGGGAGGTTAAATTTTCCTTGAGGAAGCGCAGCAGCCTCCGGACATGAAGCACCGCAGGGACATCCCAACCTCCTGCTGGTGCCGCATCCCCAAGCAACCAAAGAGAAGAATCGTGGAATGAACTGCAGCCCCTTCGCATTATGAAATGGGAATGACTTGGAAAAGGGAAAATCTTGGATGTTGGTGGTTCCCAATCTTCCCTCCCAGCTTAGAGACTCCTTAGGGCAAGGACCACAACCTGGACTTGCCCTTCGTCGTCTCTCCCGCTCTCTCCCTCAGGAGTTTCCTGCGAACGCAGAGAGGCCTCATCCGCGCCCAGCCCCACACCCTGCTCAGCAGGGAACTCCGCACGTAGGAGCGGGGAACTCGAGCGCGCTCAGGCCTAGGGCCCGGCTCTTCTGTGTCCTGCTCTTTCAAGCACTAGGCTACTTTGAAAATGGTGTTTTCACATTAACTAAATAACTCTGTTAAGTAACGATATCTACACTGAACAGCAGTTTTGCTCCTGTACTGTCCTAAGCACCAAGGAGAGCCTCTGCTCCACAGGTGCCGGCAAAGCTGTCCCAGCAGAGCCCTCTAGCGTATAGCGGCCATACGTTAGTGCGCGTGTGGGGCACGGCAGCGTAAAGCCTTGCGAGAGGAGGGAAAAAAGGGGAAAATCGGGAAATCATAAACTGAGCTCATGCAAGTCCTTTTCTGAGAGATTATGCTGGAATAAGAGGTGTTTACTCTCACACTTAGGTCTTCTATCATTTACTTTCATACATTAATCACACATTGTATTATTTACTTTGCATCACAAGTGAAAAACAGTACTAAAGATAAATTTACTAAGAGGTGTAAGTCATAGTTCATGAGCACTGCATGGCACAAGACTTGGTTCTCCATGCTTTAAAAGTCATCTTCTCATTTATGCCAAAGGTCTAAGCTAGGCAGTTGTCAAGGTAATATTTTATATGCAATTATTCTCATGAATGTGATTAAAAGGCACTCATTCTAAACTTCCTAATATTCCTAAAATGTTAGGAAATGAGAGCAGAGGTACAGAAGATGACTGTTTCGAATTTATAATAAACCTAAAGACATAATTACAGAAGTGATGCAAAAAAAAAAAAAAAAATCAGAAAAAACAGCACACTAGCAACAGGGAAATTTCTTGGTGTCTGAACACAGAACTGAGTAATTTTAGAGAAGCTGGGACGTCTCCATCCTTGGAGATACCCGAACACCATCTGGACACAGCAGGTGCCCCTGTTTGAGCAGGGCGGTTGGACTAGATCACCTTGAGAGGTCCCTTCCAACCTCAACTGTATACTCATGGGGTGCGCTTTTCTAAGTCCTTCGAAACCAGAGAAAACACTCTGAGCTCTGATTATTCTCTCAGCACTAAGCGATTACTTGTGATCGACACATTCCCAACAACAAACAAGCTATTTGCAAGTTTAACACCTCACATACGATTGCCCAGCTTTCAGCCCTCCTGACACCATGATCAGTGATACTGTCACACTCAAAAACAGCCGGAGACGAGGGTTTTCTTCCTTTCTTGCCAAGAAGCACAAAAGAAACTTACTTTGAAACCAGTACAGCAGCTGCATCGCGAGCCTTATCACTGACGACCAAGTAACACTAAAAGAAAAATATGCATGGAAGTTCACATGTGCAGATTTAACAATGCAGCTACATAATAACTTTGTACATGAAATGCTTACAAACATGGTACTAAGCCTCAAACAGAAGGAAACCAAATATTCTATTTAACAAACCATATCCCAGACAACAGTCTTGCTTCCAGTATCCTTCAAAGCACCTCTACATTTACCGAAATCTTAAATTCGAGCTGTAGACATGTGGCAGCACAAGAACAAGTGAAAAGTCACCTAAGAGCTGCTACTGTTGGAAAGAAAAGCAGTTCAGGGGTCTGTGTGTGTGTGTGTGTGTGTGTGTGGCGTAAGCCCCTTAAGATAAAAATAAACCACAAGTTAGCCACTTCCATTTACGCTCACTGGAAGTTTACTATCTTCACCAAAAATCTTTCATATGTTCATAGCTTCTCAGAGCTACTCATCCTGATCAAATGGTCATTTCTTCTATACATCATAAAATTTGGCTTTCAGGAAAACCTGCTAGTATTTTCAAATTTTAGAAGCTTTTACAGTAGTAAATATATACTAAAAAATATACATTCATACCAGACAGTCATAAAAGAAAATAGTTTACTACTTTAGAGTTAAGAGTCTCACCTGACATGAAAGATACAGGTACATATTAAAGACTCTAAAGCTATGGAAAAAATTCTTTACAGATTAGACACAGAAAATTTTGCCTTAAATATTATTTGACAATACGACATATTATTCTATATTAAAAGATTAAGCTTGAAAAAAATAATCACAGGGTTGATGCATTATGGGATGTATCATACTTACCTTTGCTGTTTTAAGTATACGATCCATTGTTGTCACACGAGCACCCCCTTCTTCAGAAAGATTTCCATCAAAACGGGCCAGATCGAAAGGAATCAGGCATATCATGGAGAGCCACAATAAAAGCATATAGCGAGTCTCCCAAGTCTGGAGAAGAATGGTAAAATAAAATACACACTGCGTGTCCCGGAACGTATTGCAGCTGAACGGCCTGGAGCACAGAGCACACACTGGCTCCAAGGAGCTTTTCAATCAAGAAGGCAAAGAAAAAACTCTAAACCCGAATGCTCCGAAACCCCAAAGGGGAAAGAAGTGTAAGAGATCCCAAATAGGCAAGTTGCAATGAGGGACGCTCCCCTTGGACCTAGAACAATCGTACTCTTTCTGACTTCTCACTCAGTGTTGTTATCGTAACAACTGTTCAGGGATAGACAGGATGAAACTTTCATGGAGCTTCTAAGGTAAGGTTTCACCAGAAAAGCTAACACCTCTTAAACTGATGTTTGAGTGCATAGGAGGAATAGTTGTTATGTGGATAGTTGTAAGAAAGAGATGACCATAGTTTTGTGGAAATTCCTCTTTCAGAGCCAAAACTTATGCAGCTACATCAATAACAATGGCAAAGTGCTCAGAAGCAGAAAGAGGTACTAAAAACTGATTTGATTTTACAGTAAAGAATTCAGTTATGCAATTTTGAATAATTCAATTTTGCCCCTTGCAATAGAGGTCTCTTAAAAATTATCTCAATAAGCCTCTAAGAAATTTTTCTTTTCCTAATACAACAGTATGAAATATGTTATCACAATCCATCCCCAAATCTACTTTACCTAAATTCTGTTTGCCAATCATAATTCTTGCTCAGAAAAATAGAGAAATAAAACTCAGAGAAAAGAAACTTAAATAAGCAGAGTAGCTAATGAAATGCTGTTGCATTGTTTTTAAAATTACAAGCAGGAAGCAGAAAATTTGAATTTCTGTGTTATTTCTCTACACCCCAAAAATACGTTACAAAAGGCAAAAATCCATGTCCAAGCTGTTCAATTCTCCCCAACTTTCACCTCCCTCCTTTCAAAATGAGAGGGGGAAAAAAGTCCGTCATACATTTGAACGTGGACATAGGAACGGAGGGGACAAATTCTGAAATGGAACAAAGAAAACAAAGCATCTTCCTCATCTCCCGCACACATTTACTCCTCAAAAGAGGAGATCTCCAATGGTTTTAAAAATGTGTCCTGCTGATAAGAAACAGGAATAGAGACCTCAAAAGCAAACTGCTCCATTTCCTCTGATTTTAAATCAGCTTGAAGTTACGGAGTAATGTTACCAATTAGCACTCTCCATAGCAGAAAAGTATTTTTCAGTTACACCTTCTAGAAATTCAGTATCTTTTGCTGCCACTCCTTTTACTGTTGCTTATACTGCTTCCCTCATATGAGTGGGATTTTTACCTCTACTTAAACCTCTTTGTTTCTAAATCTGCAGAACACATCCAATAAAAGAAAAACAAACCACAACCTCCCCCTCAACAACACAGTTTCTTTTCTGAGAGGTGACTTTAGTATTAAATCCAACTATTCAGTTAACATTTTTTTGGAAGAATTTTCTAAAATTCTGTGGGAAATGTAAAGAGTTAGACAGTTCTCACCTCACAGTCTTTTGGATTCTGGTCTGCAAGCATATCCAAAACAGGCTGCAGATCACCTACTTCATGAGGAAACATCGGGAGGAAAAATTTGTACCCTCTCACCTGCAAAAGAAGCAGTGTCACTATTCTGTGAGCTATGGGCTATCCTCACAGATTGAAGAAAAAGAAGAGAGCCCTGAAGGAGCTTCTCCTATGATTCCTTTGCACCAAGAACCATAAGAATATGACTTTATTTTTTAAAATACCTCCAAGGTCTCCGAGTTGTTCCATGCCTAATAAGAACAAAAAGGAAGCTTTTTTTTTTTTTTTTTTTTTTTTTAAACTTTAAAACAAACACTGAAAAACTGGCTCAAGAGAGGATCAGTTTCTGCTCAAGGCATATTTACTTTTGGCACACAGACCTCTGAAAACCTTTGCTGAACAATTATATAATTGCACAGTCAATCTGTATTTTTGTTATACTTTCCACACACACACACACATACTTTCCTTGCATATCTTTCATAAATGACAGTCATTTTATCACTCAGCATCCCAGTGTCTGCATTTTTTTTTCCCTCTTTACTACACTGGATTGTTAAATATCATTAGCTAATTGTATCACTCTCTCTGAAGACCTGAGTGAATGGGGTTTTTTTAAAAAAAAAAGCTTTTAACTCTTTGTTTCATTGCAGTACTCCAACAATTACTTTTATTGTTAAAAAAAAAAGTAAAATATTGCTTAAATTATTTAAGTAACAAAGATAATAGAGCAAACTTATGCACTTTCAATTACTGCGTAAAAAATTTCTTTTTTTACCTTTGTAATGATGTAAAGGAATTTAAAAGCCAGGTGGATTAGCGAGGGAGAAGATTCACTGTCCCGTACTATATCCAACAAGGAATTCATCATCCACTCTAATGAAAGGAGAAAAAGAGTGAGGCTACATAGCGTAGCTCTGAATTTCTCATACTTTTAATATTAAAGAGTGAGGTAACAGTCATATATGTAATATCATCTACAGTAAATTTGAGATGTAACTATAAATTTTTCTAGCTCAACAGACACATACACAAATAATAAATTCAAAGATGAGATTTCTACCTAAGTGTCGATCCAAGAGGTTAGGCTGCTCCTGGTACTTGTCCATTATAACTGAAAAGGAAAAGATACTTGTGAAAATCAAATTAGCGGTTACTAACAGCATTAACTGAGAGATGCACCTCTGATTCTAGACAGCTTTAGAGTAAAAACATTAGGAGTCTAAAGCGAAGTGTTGCCACCACGTGTGAAGAGGCCAAAAGCAGGGGGACTGCAGAGCAGCTCGGGCGTCCGCAGGGCCGCCTGCTCCCAAAGGCCGAGCTGCTCCCCGGGCCGGCCGCCCGCTCCCCGCCGCGGCTCTCGCGGCCCCGGGCGCAGCGCTCGCGGCACGCGGAGCCGGCAGCCCCAGCCGCTCGCTCTCCTGCTCTGCGAGCCCCTCCATGCTGCCCTCCCAGCCCCTCCTGCCTCGCTGCTCACCTCTGCTCCTCAACACCCCCATTTCCACTTACTGCTCCCCACTAATTCTGCCAGTTAACACATCAAGTTACTAACTCGTTTTACACACACACGATACCTAAATGCACACACGATACCTAAACATCAAGAAGTGCAGCAGTATGAAGCCTTCTTCAACCCTGAGGCTAATGCAGCCAGGGCTAAGTTCTCCGCAGCCACCCATGGTGCCACCACAAGGACACCTTCTTCCCCATGCTTTGGACATATTTAACAGCCTGTACCCAAACAAGATACAGGAGGTGCAAATGCAAAGTAGCTACAGAAATCACAGAATGCTTAAGGCTGGAAGGGACCTCAGAGGGCATTAGTCCAACCCCCTGCACACGCAGGGTCACCCAGGGCACAGGCTGCATCCAAGCGGGTTTGGGAGATCTCCAGGGAAGGAGCCTCCACAGCCTCTCTGGGCAGCCTGTGCCAGGGCTCTGTCATCCTCACGGGTAAGAATTTTTTCCTTAAGTTCCTGCAGAACTTCTGGTGCTTCAAAAGCTAGTTTTCACAAGAGATAATAAAACAGCCAATGTTAACCCAGCTATAAAACAACATTGATGATTATCTGGATCCTTTTAGATATTTGGTCAAAAAGTGTCTTTTTACTTAAAATTAAATATGTTTTTAACCCCTCCTTTTCCTGCATTTGTTTCTCCCAACAGTTTTGCTCTCTAACCCTTTCACCCTTCTCCTCTTGATCATATAGTTAGATTTAAAATGCAACACAAGTTCAACAGAGCTACGCCTGACCACTGCATGACATGGCACAAGTGCTTTCCAGGCACAGCCAGCCCAAGAGCATCCTTGTGTTACCTGCACCGCTCTGTCGGGTCTACGAAGCGCTGTTTACTACCAGGAGATGAAGACTCAGCTCCTAATTAACACCAACTTCCTCATGAAATTAATGGTATCTTAAATGAATAAATGGTATCTTAAATGAATAATGGAACTGGAAAACGCAAAAAGAGCCACTGCGCTCACAGCAAGCGCTTTCGATTAGAAATCTAAAATAAAACCTCAAAACACTGATTGAAGAGAAGGAATGAAATGAAAGCTTTTGTAATGTTGTTATTTCAGAAAAAAAAACCTTCCTAATTTTCCCTACAAAACTATGTTAGTAGATTACAAAGTTGAACACCACAGGCTTCTGAGATTGCTTTAAAGATCTACGTTAAAATCCTCTGTAACTGGTCATTTCTGACTGGTTTGCACACAGACCAACCTTCAACATCGTGTTTATATACCCACTAACTCTGCCAACGTATTTGGGACACTCTCTTTTGCCAATGAAGCATGAAGTGAGGCCTTATTGTTATGAGAAACCCCAGAAGAAGATGCACCCAAGGACTTATTTTCACTGTTGTTGTTGGTATATTATGAGGATATGGACAAAAGAGCAGGTGATGCTGGTATATTATGAGCGAATACGGACAAAAGGAGCAAACACTGGTAGAAGACAAAGATAAGGACCTCCGTATCTTCGTGGAACTGGCTGAAGCAGGACAGCAGAACCAAAACAGGGCCTACTGAGCCAAAATGAAGACATATATGGAAGTGACCTCTGTGAAGATGACCACCAAGGGGTCTCAAAAAAAACCCCAGAGACCCCCAAAGGGACAGGAGGGTGCATGCATGTGAGGGTGGGATATATTGTAATTAGTCCCAGGAAATTGAACGAATATGTATGATCATTTCCTAGAATTTAATGCATATGTAGATAATAGAGAAATAAAAAGTTTTAGCAAACACACCTTGGGGATACACGACAGGTGGAGCTATCCCTCGTGCATCCAGCGCTGCAATAAAGTGAACATCTGCTTCTTAATACTACACTGGTGTTAAGAGGTTTATTCCCGGTTTTGGGTGACATTATGACACTAAACCTTAGAAGCAGATACTCAACAACTAGTGCCGTGCCTATCAAAGTTAAGTGTGTGTATGTACGTGCGTGCATTAGCCGTGCAATGGCATGTGCTGCTGATCAAGATCATACTGCCACAAAGCCCGGTTTTCAAAGGAGATGCTCCCAGGAATCTAACAGTTGGCACTTTGGTGGCCAGCCAAGGAATTTCTCTCATTAACGACACAGAAGAGAGCTGCATGCAGGTAGGTCAGGAACACAGACAATGTAAATACCCAGAGACTGTACACGTGACGTGAGGCACGGCAGGACCTCAGCTCCACAAGCAGGCGACGGCTTCATAGGAAACAAGATTTCCAGAAAACACCTGGCTATCCCATCAAGTTCTGTCTTTTTACCTACAGTACTGAAGAATCAGTATAAATACGAGTGTTCTTGCTACTTTTTTGTCTGGATAGTCACATGTTCACCATTAGCTTTCTCAGATAACACCTGATGGGTTAAATGATCCTGGATGCAGGACATATTAACAACTATCACAAATTAGTGGAGCAATATAATGAATAATCAGCAACCCAATTCCAAAATCATGGACAGAAAAGTGGTAGCCGGGGAGCTGTCATTTCTGCCACAATATCCTCACCAAATACTTCCACTCATGGCACGCTCTTCCTCCTACCTACAACTAAGGTAATCCCTAACAGTGTGCACAGCTCTACCCTTTGTGCCGTTTTTCCTGGAAGGAAAGAGAAAAGAAGTGCCTCCACCCCAGAACACAGACAGCAGATGTTAACAACTTCTCAGCCAGGCTTCCTTACTGCCGTACAATCTAAACTCATGAACTGCTCCCTATCTCCAGCCAGCTGCACTTCAGAGACCGTTTCCTGCTAGAATTTGTACTTCTACCAAAGAACCTTGGCAAAGCCACATTTCTAGACGGGGGTCATTTTGGTTTATCCTTTGCTTACCTCGCTTCTCTTTTGTGAAAACAGAGAGGGCAGCACTATTTTTTTTTTTTGTTGATGGCAAGTTTTTGTAACATCACAATTTTTGCAAAAGCATTTGCAAAATGCTAATCCGTTCAAAACTATTTGGTTTGTAAATACACAAATCTCTGAAGGAGTTTTTGCAGATTACCTGGCCAGGACGTTGCAGCCGTTCCACAGAGCAGCAGCCCAACACCCAGGACACGGGTCCTTGGGGATGGTAACACCCCAGCGCCAGAGCCGGGGCCTGGTGGTCGCAGAGCCTCTGCCACTTGGGTCCCACAAACCCAGGGCTACTCAGGCGCATCCGAGCTGCCTCCATTCACCATGCATGAAGAATGCTGTTCGGCAATTAATATATTTTCTACGAAATGTGAAATCTATGATGGGAAACTGCAATCGTAAAATCCGAAGCATGCGTATTTTTACCAAGCAGTTAGATACCGAATTTGATAAAAACACATAAACTTATGATCAACAATAGCAAACTATCTTTGTGCAAACTTCTTTCCCCCTCTGTTCACACAGCTGTAACACCTACAGTTAAAGCAGCATTTCCCATTTGTACTGGGTGGTGTGTGGCTCAGTTTGCTCCTCACTCACCTTCCTCAGCCTTTGCACAGCTGGAGCTCTGGGCAGCTGATGAACGTCTGGGTTCGCTTGAAGCCTCTGCAAGACCTGCTACATCCCTGTGTGTGCAGGGCATTGGACTAGATGACTTCTGAGGTCCCTTCCAACCTTAAGCATTCTGTGATTCCATGATCTGCCTTGCCAAGCACTGAGAGGTTCCAACAGGGCTGCATTGACAGCAAAGCCCGAGCACGCCGCAGACAAACCCTGCTCGGAAACAGCAGGGCCGGCCGTGGGCAGCCGAGCCACCTCCCTGCAATGTGCACACACGCCTGGAAACCTTCCTTGTGTGGAAAATACACACACAAGAAGTTTGGGCTTGAGCAGAATACACCTCACAAGTTTCAAGTTTGTATCTTTAATGAGCAGAACAAAAGGAACCCAGACAGGGGGGAGACTGAGCGGAGCCAGGAGTGGGGGGAGAGACTGCGGGGAGCCTGGAGCGAGGGGGGCACAAAGGGCTCGAGTGACCTGAGGTGCCAACACGTGGGGGGAGGCACCGAGCTGGGCGCGGGCGGCCAGGCAGGCTGTGACTCCCGAGTCCCTTGGCCAGCGGGGAAAAGGAGAGGGCACCGCGGCCGGGAAATGAGGATAAAAGGGGGGCTGTGTCCCCCAGCAACCTGAGAGACCCCACAGGGATGTGCCCGGTGGACTCTCCCTTTATTCGAATAAAGTTTTGGGTATCCTCTGTCTCCTTATGGACATTCCATTCTTGGACAGCGAGATTTCTCCGCACATTCCTGAATTCACCTTGCCTGAATCGGCGCAGGCGACGGCGGCCAAGCAAGGCGGGGAATTCAGTTTTCTTAAACCCAGGGCCTGGTTTAACTACCGTGGGGCACGGGACGTGCACTTGGCAAAGGGGGCAAGGCAAACACAGACACACACAGAGACACACAGATCACACACACACACACACACACACACACAGAGCTGACCTGCCCGCCACCGCGGCCCCCCGCGGCCCGCTCACCGATGAAGCGCTCCACGGTGAGCTCGCGCGCGGCCGGGTCGGCGCAGGCGGCGCGGAGGGCGCCCAGGAGCCCGCGCACCTCGTGGCTCTCGCTGAAGCTCTCCAGGACGTGGCCCTCCACGACGGCGTCCAGGCCCGTGCTCGCCTCCTGCTCGCGGCCGCCGCCCTCCGCCTCGCCGAGCGCCATGTCCGCCACGGGCCCTGCGGGCGGCACCGG